GGGGGAAAGTGCTGGGAGAAGGCTGGAAAGAAGGGGTGGCCATGAGAAAGTTGGGGATGGAGCGTCATGTGTGAGGGCACAGAGGGGCATGAGGGGAACGGGGGCAGAGAGTGGTGAGGGGGTGAGTATCAGGTAAAAAGAGGGCAAAGGGGGCAGGGGCAGTAAGGGAAGGAGGAGGCACCAGGAGGATGCAGGGCTAAGGGAAGGTGCAGGTGCCAGGTGATTCTGGGGTGAAGCAGAAGGGCAGACACCTGCTGGGGAGTGGGGGGGAACAGCAGTGCACGGAGACACTTCTGTCTCTGCTGGTTCCCCACAAGCCAGATCCAATGGGGAGTCTCGGGGCTTCCCCCCCCCCCCACACAGAAGGAAGCCAGCTCTGGCGCTCCAACCTCGCAGGGGAAGGGGAAGGGGAAGGAGGGAAACGAGGCTGGAGCGCCAGCGTGGGCTCCTTGCTATGGGGAAAGGAAGGGAGGGAGAGAAGGTGGAAGGGGAGGGGAGCTGAGCTTGAGCCAGAGAGAACCATTGGTGTACACTAAACAAGTATTAATGCATCCAACTCCCCCTGCAGGTCTGCTGAGTTTCTCTTTCTGTCTGGTGGAGAAAAACAGGGTGCCTGCAGCAGTGGCTGTGCAAAGGATCTGTGCTGTCCTAGCTAAGAGGCCCCTATTTTCATCCTTGTTGTGCTCCTCAAACCTCTATCTAGACTTGAAAAATTGGGGAAAAAACTCTGGACCAACTGGACAAAACAAGGGTATGATGCAGATTTCTAAAATTAAAGCAATAATATGACCTGCCATCTTTAGTGGTGTGACTAATCCTAACAACTGAAGCCAACTTACTAGTTTAGTCTTGATGCCCTAGGACTGCCAGAGGCCTCTAAGCTATTAAGAACCACTGGAATGCTTCATACATTCCCCATGTCTACTGTGTATGCTGTACTAATGAGGAGGAACTCTGGGGGTCTGGAGTTCTTTGTGAAAGTGTAGAAAGAGGAATTATCAGAGCCCCTAAAAGTACGTTAAAAAATGCTTGTGTAGATCTCAGTTTATGCTGACACAGCAAAAAAGATTTTATTCAAAATGTATTGACTGAACAAGTTGCACGAGCTAGGGGCCTTGTACCTAATGTTTGTTGAAGTTGTTATAAACAATAGGAACTTGGGTGTGTACGCTATGGGACTGTCCAAGACCTCTGCATCTGTGGAAACAGGTGGATTCAACAATGTAATAAGATGTTGGGTTCTGCAACCAAACCTATAGTCCCAGGTTACACACCTACATGCTGGTTTTTATCTCCACCACAAAGATTTTGGTTCAAAATTTAGTGGAGGAGTAGACTTATGCCCAGAATAGAGCAGTAATATTCAGACCTCTCTGAGTTATCAACGAAAGAAAGAATATCTTATTGGGGTTGAGAGCAATTATATGAATTAGAAGAAATTTGGAACCTGATTCTTGATATATTTGAATAAATAATGTACAGAAAAATCTCAGGGTTCCTTTGCACCTACTCTTTCTACTCCCCCCCCCCCCCCCCGTACTCTCCCCCTTTTTTATTTGCGTCTTTTCATTTTTTGATATTCCAACACTATTATGTTACATCTGTATAAGGTTGTATAATTGCACATATTGGATATGCTTGGAAAATGAGGTTTCTGGTAACATACACAAGCTGTTAATCAACCACCTTTTTGGATTTTTATTGCTTGTTTCTTTATAAAAAATCATTAATAATGAAAAAAGAATAACTGAATAAATTCCTCACAAAAGAGTATATGAAAAATAAAATACTTCTGTAGTCTTACCTCAGCTCGCTTCAGCATCTCCCATTTATTCAGTATCTTCATGGCAAATACCTTATCTGCATTTTTCAGTTTTACTACTGCAACCTGGAAAACAAAGTGCAGATAAAAAAACCTAAAACAGGAAAATAAGTGGTTGCTAGAATAATCCTCATTCGGAAATATATAGATGGCTGAGCTGCTTTAATTTATTCTTGTTGTGATAGGATTTTGAGCCCTATGATTTAATAACTTCACTCTGTGTACATGATGCCATACCAAGTATTCATCATCACACTAACCATAAAAAGTAATTTGACAGCTGTTTAGGATATTTATTCTGTAAAAGTTCTTAAATTCACCTTAAAACTCCATTACTGAAAAGTATATACTTCTATATTTTTCTAGCTTAACATGGTTTAAAGAGGACATTATAGTATAGTACTTCCAGTATAGTACTTCCTTTCCCTTCTATCGTATAACTATGATATGCCGCTGGATATGTTCCCAAAGCTTGGACTAGTTATTGAACCCACTCTCTTCTATCACGGAACTAAATAGTGGCTGCAGCATAAAAGAACGAGATCTAGGTAATGTAGTAGTCAGGTCCCAAAACTAAGAAACATTAGAATGTCAAGTTATTCAACCAATTGTGTACTAGACATTTACTACAGGATAAATCTTCCAGATACATTTCAAAGAACAGGGGGAATAATAAGAAATAAAAATAATTAAGCATAATGCTCTGCACTCCTGTGCTATTTTACATGTCAGGTTTTCATTGAGATCTCTTTTACACCATCGTGAACTGGGGAACTATTATTCCCATTTTATGGATGGGAAAACTTAGAGATGTTATGATTCTTATTGAACTTTTACATTAGGCATCATACACACATTTAGCAATTTACACGAGAATAAACCCAAAGTCCTTGTCCTGAGGATTTTATCATTTTATATCTAATCTAAAGCCAGGATTGTATCAATAAAGAGGCATGGCCCCTGGGAGGTGGGGAAGCTTATACAAAACACAGTTATTTTTTCCTGTTTTCACAATACTGACATAATAGGAACAACCCTGAGTTCTCTAGTTCAAATAAGACACAAAAACAAAGGCAGCCTGAAGCAGAGCTAACAACGGAACCCAGGACTCCCAGCCTACAGTATTGTGACTCAGCCACAAAATTAATCTTTAAAATTAAAAAAGTTCAGTACTTCATACATTTTAAAATCCATATATCAATGAACCCCAACTTCCTTTCTCCTGCAAAGAAAGGCATACTTGCAAATCCTAAGGAGAAAAAAGACTGTTTTGTGTTTTAGTTGTAGACCAGGGTGCTGTCACACAGATTAACATCATCTTTACCTGCAGGCAGTGACAACATATATGTATGGTTGAACACTATACTCTCTTCGTCATTTTCATACTTCACAACCTGGCTATGTGCCAGAGAAGTAACAACAGTAAAGAAAATGGAACAGATGCTGACAGCTTGATCAAAAAGAGTTACGCAAGGCTTCTTTCAATCCTTCTTCAAAGGTGCCATCAGCTGAAATAGTTTAATCAAGCTAGTAAAGGTGCATGTTGAACTCCATTTACAATCCTTACAGATGTCTAAAACAGAAACACATTCACTCTTTCACTAAACTATAAACTGGGTAGAACAGCGATTAATTCCCAGGGGTGTTGTGGTACATTAATCAGCCCTGACCTCCATCACATCCCACCCCTTGTGAAAATAAAATGCAATCCAAGAAGAAATTAAAAAGGCGAACACACAAGGGTATCTGACCTAGCTGTTAAAACTAGTTTGCAAACTGAATTTTTTAAAGGAGATTCCCAATAAATGTCAGACATACAATTCTAGGTTCCCATACACATATTCATTCAAAAATTTATTGATTCTAACATCAGAAGGGACCACTGTGACCCCCTCTTCTGGTATCCTGCATAAATAGCCATAGAACTTCCGCAAAATAATTCTTGTTTGAAGCACAGCAGTTTTTAGAAAAACTTCCAGCCTTCAGTTGACAGTGATTAAAAATTCACCACAGACTTCAGTTTAGATTCATATTCATAAAAAAGACTTTTAGATCTAGACTTGGGATTGCTCAGGACTTGCTCAAAGTTAGTACAGGCAGTCCCCGGGTTACGTACAAGATAGGGACTGTAGGTTTGTTCTTAAGTTGAATTTGTATGTAAGTCGGAACTGGTACATATTGTAGGGGAAACTCTAGCCAAACATTTCTCCAGAGCTCAGTTTTATTCTCCCACACCTCACTTCCCTCAGCCCTTTATTCTCAAGCTGAAGTGTCTGCTGAGAAAAGCCGCTCCACCTCTCCCTGGTCTGCTGGGCGGGGGGAGGGGGACGCGCTAGCTTCGCATCTCCCTAGTCTGCTGGGGGGAAGGACTGCCTGTACTGAAAAACATTTAGATTTCTTGTCAATTTCATAGCTGTCCCACAGTACTAAATAGCAGTGCTGAAACTTTTTAGTTTCAGTTTCACTGTTGTGGATTAAGAAATCTATGAACAGTGCCAAAGAGAAGTGGAGTTGGATGTCTCACTCCAGAAGACATTTGCTTCGTATTTGGAAGATGATCTTTGTAACTATAAGGATTTGAAGGGGTTTTGTTTTAAGAAGAGGTTAAATTCTGCATAATTAAAAAGTTAAATTCCTTTGTTTACCAGGGAACCCTTCTGATTGGTTTCTAGTAAAGTAGTAGGTGGATTTTTCAGACTTTCTAAAGGGAGTTAGTTGTTTCCAAATTGGCCCATAGTGTTGGAAGTGGCTGTTAATTATCCAAGGCACTCATCCCATGACCAAAAGGCCTGAGCATGTTGGTTACAATTTTCAAGGAGGGCTAAAAAGTTAGGTCCCCAAATCACATTGACTTGTAATGGAACTTGGGCACCTACCTCCCTTAGATTCCTCTGAAAATCCCAACCATTTCATGTAAATTGATCTTTCCCCTAGCTGATCTGAGAAACAACAGGTCAGTTTCAGTTTTTTAGCAGCTTCTGTTAAAAAATACATGAACAAAAATATACATGTCTATATATAGTGTAAAGAGAGGAAGCCTAGCTAATGAATGGCAGCAGCAGTTTGACAGTATGCCAGAGAACATTGCTGTACAGTTTGTGGGAAATATGTAAAATTGTTGGAAGAATGAAAGAGAAAATAAAATCCAACTAAAACCAAAATGTTTATGTCAGCACATACCAAACATTTTTCAGTGGGCTGCTCACAGGAAAAATAAATACATTAAAAAAAAACTTCAAATGTCCAGTTTTAATAAGTTTCAAGAACTGTCATTTTAGGATGACTAGAGGGACGTGACTATCACTTTGTTCTTCTTTGACAGCTCAAAACATTATTTTAGGATAGCAGATCAAAAAAGGCCCCTTGTATATGTGTATATATTATATATTCTCTCCATAAACACACATGCACACATACTTGTCTATAAGGTTTCAAAATTTTCTTTAACACGTTGATTACACATTAGTAGCCTTTTTTATTATTATTTAAGTAGCAATATTGTGTGTTCCTTGTTGTGTTCCTTGCATAATACAAACTCTCTCTTCAGTCTAAAGAGCTTGCCAAGTAGCTAGACAGACAACACAAAATACAATATACCATAGGAAATTATTCTCCACAGACAACACAGATTTAAACGAGACTTTTTCTACCTGATATACACAGAAAAAGTTTTATCCAGAGATCCTGGTAGAAGGTTTACACAAAATAAAGGTTGTAAGGTTGCTTGGTACAGATTGACCATGTCTAGTAGAAAAATGTATTTTAAAAACATCAGGGGTAGCAGAGTTAGTCTGTACAGGATAAACTTAAAAAACAATAAATGGTCTGGCAGGACTTTATAGACTAACAAAACATGTAGAAGGTTAACTACCCAATCTTCAGGTGATCACAAATCCCCAGTTCTGCCTTCCTGTTTTTCCCTTTGTTATTTCCATACCCTCTGCTCCTTGTTTCCTACCCTTCTTCCTTTCTCCCACGCCTTTCTCCCCTATTTATTTTGGGTCTGCACATCCTAAACTCAAAACTCTGGTCACCCGAAGAAGTGGGCTGTGCCCATGAAAGCTCATGATACCATATACATGTTTTGTTAGTCTATAAAGGGTTGTTTTTTTAAAATGTGTTGGCTAACCATGTTTTGACTAGCTCAATTTTAAACAGAGTTTATGTTTAAAAACATGTTAACTAGTTGTGACCAACCTTAGGGATTGTTGATAACTTGCCAACACATTTTTAAAAATGTGTTTAGAACTTTAAAAGCGAGAAGGGATCATTATGATCATCTAGACTGAGCTGCTTCATAACACAGGCCTGTAACACAGTGCCCCAAAAAGACAGTCTACACTCCATATTCACCATTGGTGATATAATGATGATATGTTTTGTATAAAGTATGCCTTGTGAGGTGTCATTGTAAAAGGCTTTATCTATTAAATATTAATATCCTGTTAAATTGTATGTGTTATTGTATGTGAAGTTTTGCTAGGTACGTGCCACTGAAACATGCTGTGAACTTGAGAACCTCCACAAGCAGCCTTTCCAAGGTACAATAATAAAAAGGTCAAACAACATTTATGGCCCATTGAGAAAGATACAGTAACTCTAGCTTAACATTGTACTTAGGGTTCTGAAAAATGCAACTTTAGGCAAAACAATGTTAAGCAAATTCAATTTCCCCATAAGAATTAATAAAAATGAGGGGATTTTTTTCAGCAGACAAAAGACCAGTAATAAACATATACAGTATAAGTTTTAAACAATTTACAACTGTACACAGCAATGATGATTGTGAAGCTTGGTTGAAGTCATGGAGTCAGAGGGTGGAATATTTCACAAGGAATGTTTTCTACTAAATGATGAGCTAGCACTGGGCTGAGTTGTCATGGGCTAACATTGTTAATGTAGCTTCACACTCTATAAGGCAACATAGACTGAGGCAGGAGGGAGGAACTACAACAGACATGCTTTGTGGAGATGGCTTTGTGGAGTTGGGGGGCTCAATCAGGGGGTAGGGAAAACAACCTGTCATCAGCGTTCTTCTTCACATACCCCTCCCTGCACAGCAAGCA